AATCAAAATAGATCGTCGATTTTTATAAGTAATAGCATGTGACAAATTAGCATCACGTGGTTTCGGGGCCAACTCTAGTCTAGCCGCTATTTCGCGACAATGCGGTATATACATATTTATATATACTGTATATATATTACAAGCTTTATAAAAAAAAAAGGCATATCCACTACATAAAGGATTTTAACTATTGAATCTATTTACCTAAACTCTTTAATAGAGCAACTGCTCTTACATTATTACTATTTGCAGTTAATCTTAAATAATTTAACCCACACTCTTCATCTTTCTTTAAATTTCCAGCATACTAATATATTACATCAATGTTTCGATTCTCAGATTTCAAATGCTAATTCAAAATATCTTTGCGTAATTCATCTTTTGTAGTTTCATCACTCACTTTTTTGAGGTCATCAAGCAATGAAACTGCATATCTACATTATGATTTAAACCGATTATTTTCATCAGCAACTTCTTTGAAATGCATTCTGATCTGAATTAAATTTTTTTCGCCATAATGCCCGTAAATAAGTAATACCTTAGCCAGAATTTTGCCATCGGATTATTAAGTTCGATATTTTGTTTGAAGTACTAACATGTTCCTTATTTTTATGCGTCTCTACAGCATCTTTAAGAGATTTAACGGCACACTCTTCTTCAATAATTTCATCATCCACAATTTCAGGATTCTCGTTTAATTCTGAAAAGGATTCTTCATGCTTTAGTCCATTACAATCTAATACCGTATAGGCGCGTAATAACGTGCATCTGTGTTATTTCGAGACTTTGCGCGTTATTTCGTTATGCACATACGCGATAAGTCGAATTATTATGATAATTTTAGGGGAAAAAGTGCGAATTTATTCTGGTACATATATGGGCGCGTTATTTTTGAGACATGCATGTGCATTATTTTGATTTCAATATTCTTTTTTTTTTTAAAAAAAAAAAAGTGAAAATTCAAATAATGCCCACGTACGTTATTATGTGCTTATATGACTCTCTTTTTTAAAAGTTATATAGTGGTACAAATTGAAAGTTGAAAAATCGATTAGTTGATCAAGTTGACAACTAATCGATTCCATTTTTCCAAACCAACTTAATCGATTGGTCGATTGGTCGATTAATCGATTAGTCGATTGGTCGATTTATCGATTAGTTGATTAGTCGATTAATCGATTAGTCAATTAGTCAATTAGTCGATTAGTCGATTTGGCTAATTAATTATTTTAAATACA